CGCCCTTTCAATTTCATGACCTCAATTATTGTTACACGCACACACATGCACACACGCACACACATGCACACACACACACACACAACCTGCAGGTCCATTTAGTGTTTGCCTAGTACATTTTGTGTTTATGGCTGACCACATGGCATTAAACAGCCTATCAGAGGGCCCATCTCTCAAGCAATCTGGTTGTCTTTCTCAACGGCCATTAATTGCCTATAGCTCTTCCTCTAGTGTTGGAGCTATGGAGATTTTTTCCTCTGTTCACGTTGGGATGTCAGCTAATGGTGTCACTGTGCAGGTCTTGTTTGAGCAGCCATATTGTTGAGATTTAATCGGTACAACTTCCTGCTTGAAATAGAAGACACTGTCTCGTTGCTGGCGTCCTCATTCACTGGCTTTTACGTTATCTCCTACGCCCCTCCTGCCACCACTGTCTGCAGTGTTCTCTGAACCTGTGGGAGTAAAGCTTGTGTGTGTTTATCAGTTAGGGATGCGCACCCCACAGTCACATGGTCTTTGCATCTTGGTCAGTTGTGGCTTCAGTAATGGTCTTGTGTTCTGCAAAAAAAAAAAAAAAAAAAGCTTCTTGGATGAAAAGGGGGAGCTGCACTTGTCTGTAGTTATGGGGGAAGTATTTAGAATGCCGCTTAGGAAAGCGGCAATAGTAGGTTCCCTCTAGGACCCTTGGGCTCACCAACCATCGGTAGTTGCCTAGGTTACGTTATCAGGCATGAATTTTCTCATGAGCATGAATTTCTCATGAACCAACTAGGAGGCTTTGGTTACCTCCAAAATACAGGCGCCACTATCGCCCTCTGGTACATCTCACTGGTCCTTGTCGTGCCTCAGAGACTTTACAGCTCAGTAGGACTTTCAATTGCACTTCTTCCTTGGTAATGCACACAGCACCTTTGTCTACCCAAGTGCTAATCTTCAGGCTTCTGGGTCAGGTCCAGCTTGATTTCCTGTGTCCTTCAGCAAGAGGGTGTTACCGTAGACAAGGTAGGACGTAGACAAGGACAACAAAAACCTGAATGGTGGTCCCTTCTGACCACAGCTGGAAGGCTCCTCATGCTTGCACTGGGGGATTCGCTGTCTGTGGCTTTATGGGGTGCATCCTCACCCCCCATGCCATGCCCTTCTGTGATTATGCTCTGACATACTTAGCCAGTCACCTGCTGATGGACTTTGGAGTCATGCCCAGTGACTCTCAGTGTGTGTGACTTGATTTTCTGTGTGTGTGCCTTTGCTCCCCTGGGTGAGAACACGAGGCTGGCTTTCTCCACATCCCAATTCCAGCCAGGGGCACTGGCTTTTAATGTTTGGCATTGTTACCTACTCTAGAGCTGAAGGGTTCCCTGGTCCCCACGTCGGTCTGTTGTCATTGGCTGTCCACTGCTGGCAGTTCTCTTGGGAATCTCTCCTGTTGTTGGTGCTCTTGGCTTGGTGGTTCTCCTCCAGCTTCTTTAATATCCATCCCCCTTGCCTCTCCCTACCTTCCCCTCTCCTCGGGGAGCATGTATGCGTGGTTATACGCCACACAGAGGCATGTTCAGGGTTCAGAGCTTGATGTCTTGTTTTTGAGACAAGGTCTCTCCCAGCCCCCGGAGCTGCTGTTTTTCTCTAGCCTGGCTGACCTGTGAGCCCCAAGGACCCTCTTGTTGCTGTCCCACAGCTTGGGGATTACAGGAGCACACTGTTAAACTTCACTATGAGTTCTGGAGCCCCGAACTCAGGTTCTCATATTCACAGAGCAAACAGTTTACCCTCTAATCCAGCGGTTCTCGGCCTTCCTAATGCTGCCACCCTTTAATACATACTACGGTGACCCCCCAACCATAAAATTATTTCCACGGATACTTCATAGATGTAGTTTTGTTACTCTTAGGAGTCATAATGTAAATATCTGATATGTAGGAGATCTGATAAGGGACCCGTGACCCACAAGTTGAGAGCTGCTTCTCTAAACCGTCTTCCCAACCGCTTTTATTCACTTTTTAGTGATACTTTTATCAACTATTTGAAATTTTCATGCACAGTATTTTAAATATATTCTCCCATTTCCATCCCTCCCCCACCCCTTCTCACCCAACTTTGAGATTTCCCTATGTTTCTTTTGTCTGTGCCGCACAGCTAATCGTGAGTGGGAGTGGGGATTGTGCTGGTCTGGGATCATCCTATGAGAGGCCACATCATTAGACTCTCCCTCTCGCAACAACTATCAAACGCCGGTAGTTTCTCAGCCAGGGGATTTGGTGTGCACTTTAACCCCTGTGCTGGTCCTAGCATACTGTCACAATTTCTGTGTGTTCATATGTGTGTCTGTCTTGTGGTGTCTGGAAAACACTGCTTTCTTGATTGATATTATTATGCCAAAGCTTGCTCTATCTATCTATCTATCTATCTATCATTGTTAGACAAGGTTTCTCTGTGCAGCTCCGGCTGTCCTGGAACTAATCTATAGACCAGGCTGGCCTTGAACTCACAGCAATCCGCCTGCCTCTGCCTCCTGAGTGCTGGGATTAAAGGCGTGCGCCGCCGCCGCCGCCACCACCACCACCACCACCTGGTTTATTTCTTTTGTTAAGAATTTGTTTTAATTACATGGTGGTGGGATGGGTATAGGTATGTCCATGTTAGTGCACCTATGGAAGCCAGAGGTGTCAGATCCCCCTGGAGCTGGAGTTACAAGTGGCTGTGAGCTGCCCAATTTAAGTGCTGGGAACAGAACTCAGGTTCTCTGTGAGAGCAGTGTGTACTCTTCACTACTGGGCCATCTCTCCAGCCCCTACTGCTGGCTCTTATAAACCTTTCAGTCCCCTCTTCCTGAAGACCCAGTGCCTTAAAGGGAGGGTATGATTCCAGTGTCCCTTTTGGGGCTGGGCTCTCCAGTCTCTTATTCCCTGCATGTTGACTGCGTGGTGGCCATTGCCATCTACTGCAAGAAGCTTCCCTGATGGGAGGGAGGCGGGTCGGACTCCACCCCTCTCAGTCAGGCCCCTCCTCTCTCAGTTGGACCTCTCCCTTCCCATTTTTAAAGCTCTTTATGCTTTAAAGATGGGAACCTCAGGCCTGGGGAGAAGCTTTGAGTTTTGTTTTTCCATCGTTCTTACAATAAAAACCACCCCATTTTGTTATTTTGTATTTTAAAATACTAAACTATTAAGCACCAACTGCATACTCTGGCATGCTCTGGAAAGAAAACTCTAGAGCTGGCTTTATTTCTACTGTTTCGGCAGTTTTCAAGTCAGTTTCTCCTATGACTTTTAAGTGTTGTGTTTGCCGCCTCTTTCTGTGTGCCCTGCGGGGCTTTTCCTGTGCCTTTGTTTCCAACTCTTGCTTTGTGATGGCTCTCACATAGGGTAGATTAATTCAGAACCCTTTGTGCTTCTGCAAAGTCTCCTAATTAGTGGCACCATCATTCCATCTGAACCTTATAGCCTTTCAAGGAAGGGAGAGTGTATAAACTGCTTTTTTTTCTTGAGAGAGGGTCTCCCTGGTCTTGCTGTATATTCCAGGATGACCTTGAGCTCACGAATCTCCTGCCTCAGCCTTACAAGAACCAGAATTACAGACATCTCCATTTGTTTTTAGTGTGTTTGGGTTATTGTGGGCGCGTGCATACGGAGGTCAGAGGACAGCATGGGGGCTGTCTCTCCCCTACCACCATGTAGGTTCCTGGGATGGAACTCAGTCATCAGCAAGCACCTTTACCTGCTGAGCATCGCAGACCCATGCTCTGTTTTTGTTGGAACTGCACAGAACTCTGATGACGGACGTTTTACACGGCATATCCACCTGGGGACAGATGTACTGGCTTACCCAGGTCTTCCAGTATTGGCCAATGGGAAACCAAAGGGTGTTCTTTGAAGAGTTGCCATGTGTTTCTTTTGAGATGGGGTCTCAAGCAGCCAAGGCTGGCCTTGAACTCTGAATGTAGCTGAGCATCTTCTGGTCCTCCCTCCCGTCTTTACTTCCCAGTGCTGGGCATCAAACCCAGGTCTCGATGCATGCTGGGCCAGCACTGGGCCAGCCAAGCCACGTCCCCCGCCTCCTGTTACTTTTCGAGACATGTCTGGGTGTCATGTGTCTTTGTGGCTCCTGTCAACAGGACCTGTGCCTTCTCAGCTGTCACATGTGTAGAGAAAGTTCCCAGCCTTGGCAGGGACTCTGGAGCCAATCTCTCCTGACCTGAAACGACAGTAGCACCACTCTCCTTGTCACTGGCCTGGTCTCCTGTGTAGCAGCTGTTCCCCGACTGGTGGGCTCGTCTCCTCATCAGAACCTTCTAGGCCCCTGGGCCTCTTCAGCGGCCGTTGCCCACTCTCGGGATCACAGGTTCTGCTGTGTCTTCATCTTTCCTCCTGAATAAGAGCTGGCCATTGTCTCTCTCCTGCAGGCTCTCGTCCCGCCGGACGGGTGGCAGCGTTCGGTCATCTGTGGAGATGGCTGGTTTTCCTCCCTGTGTGTTAACAGTCTGAGTCCCCAGGCCTCTCTCCTCACTGCTTCGTGTGGGAATCCAATCCCACAGAGCTGGAGTTAGGAACAGCTGTGAGCCACCCAGGGTGGGTGCTGGGACCAAACTCAGCTCCCCGGCAAGAGAAACACATTCTCTTAATGGCTGAGCCTCTCCCTCGGTGATCTCTGATGACCCTTAATGCAGCTCCTCATGCTGTGGTGACCCCAACCGTAAAGTTATTTCATTGCTATTTCATAACTGTAATTTTGCTACTGTATGTAAATATTTTTAGGTATAGAAGTTTGTCGAAGGGGTCACAGCCCACAGGTTGAGAACTACTGCCCAGTCTTCAGAATTTATTGAAAGCAACGCCTCCTAAGAGTGGCCACCAGAGAGGTTATTCCCTAGTGGCCTGGGGCACCCAGCATGTAAATAAAAGAGAATTGTAGCTGCAGCAGAGATGGGTATCAAGGCAGCATTACCTATCAAGGTACCTATCAGCCACACCTACTTGTGAGAAACCAGAGTCCAGGTGAATGGCTGGTTTTTGCCAGTCCTTTAAGGGAGGGGTTCCCATAAGGGACTTTCATCCCACATGTTAAAATAAGGCAATCCCCCAAGCTGAACTAAAAGACGTTGCCAGCCACAGGTGACAAAGGTGAGCATACAGCAAAAATGGAGTGGGTGGGGCCTCCACAGAACATGCCACGGTGTTCATTCCCAGCCCACGACCTAGAGAAGAAGGACATCACAAACAGTCAGTTTTGCAGTTGTCCAGATGAACTCTGAAATGCCATCTCAATGCTAGGCAGCCCAGAGGCCGTGGCACAGCTGTGGTTTCCATTCAGTACCATTTGAGTGCTGGCATGTGCGCGCGCGCACGCGCACACACACACACACACACACACACACACACACCTGTGCATGCACACATGCACTCACGCTAACGCCTGCCCTGTGAGACCACATCAAGGGAAAGCTATGCTTTGTGTCTGTAGAGCAAACTTGCTCTCATTTCTCAACTGTGTGGCTTCTCTGCCTACTTTCCCTCTCAGATTTTAATAGTCATGAGTACACGAGATTTTTCACCTTCCTGCGTGTGTCCCTGTTGGCAGTGGTATTGTCATCCAGCGATGTGGCAGCCTCAATGCTCTACCTAGCTGGGAAGTGTACACCTCTCTCCAGGGGAAGCATAAAAGCTACCGGTCACTCTGTGGGAGTCAGTGTGTGGAGAGAGGGCAGGACGGATGTGCTGGTCATCATGTTACTAGTCACCCTGCCCCCTTGGGGGCCCAGGTCCCCCAGTTTGCCTGTGACATTCCTGCTGGACCTTGCTTTCACCCTGTCTGCCCTTGTCTAGGGAGCAGATGCCTACAGGAAAAGTTGACAAGACATGGACCACAGAGATCCTTCCCATCAGTTGCTTAAAGGGCTGAATGTGTCCAGGAGTTCCCAGGCCTGGCTGTTAAGTGGAATGCTTGGGGTCCTTGTTAGAGGGCAGATGCAAAGTCTAAGTTAGCTCATTCCAGGAAAGTCATGCAGCAGGCCCGCCCCACATCAGGCCCACCCCAGTCCTTCCTCAGGGTTTGAACCCCATAGCCAACACAGCTTGGAGAGCATAGAGCCCCTTGAGTGGAAAAGGGCCTTCCACAATGGAGGCTGAGCTGTGGGTGAGTTAAGAACTTATTTACAAATGGAAGACAGGTTTGAGCCCAGGCTATGGCAGTTTTGGGGGGGGGCTGTCAGGCAGGTGAGCTACTGTGTCCAGCCTTTCAACATAGACACTTACCAAGAAATAAAACAGGCCAGGGCCTTTCATAAATGCTGTTGCTGTCCCTATCTTTGCCTCTTGGGGACAGGCACTGCTGGGTTTGCACAGATCACCCCGTGGCTCCCACAGCTCCCCTGTGAATGGCAGGAGATGTCTAGTCACCCCTTTTCCTGGAGGCTGCAGTGGCCTAGCCTCGCTGGTGACGCTTCATCCTTCTAACAGAACACAGGTCTTGTGGTGAGCAAGGTCTTGTGGGAACTGTGACCCATGTCTGCATGAGAGGTCCTTGGGGCCCCTGGGAAAGTCCCCTAACAGAGCCCCTGACAGTGACATCTCTTTCCTAGGCCAGGCCACCGGTACAGTTGCTGTGACAGGCTGTATCCACCAGAGGGCACACTGCCCTGCATTGCTCAGCTGAACTGAGCTCTGCACACCAAATGCTTTTTAATTGAAAATTTTTTTTAATTCAAAAAGGATTTGCTGTTTGTACTCAAGTGCAGGTTTTCCTTATGCAGAGACTAATGTCTTGAGTAAACAGATCCGGGCTCAAATCCACCTTCAAAGGTACTCTCTATTTGCCCAAGGGAGTGAAAGGGCTTCCAGAAGCGGCCCTAGTCTCTTGGGCAAACATTTTGGGGACGAGGAATCCCAGGCAGAGGACATCATCTGTGGGAAGGTTATCCGCAGCCTAAGGGGGATTATGTCTGAGGACATATGTTGAAATTTCATTTGGGGAATTAGGGAAAACAAGAGTGGGGGTGGTGACTTTCTCCAGCCAAGATAACCTAAAAAGGGAAAAACTCCAGGGAGAGGGCAGGGGACCAGGGCATCGGCGTGTTGTGTCAGCCCCCAGGGTCTCCGCGTGCCCGGGCTATAGGGCAGGAAAGGGCAAGTGTGTACTTGCAGTCACACACACACACACACACACACACACACACACACACACACACACACTCTTCCCCTGGACTCTCCTGGGGACCCTCTTCCAGCAAAACCAAACCCCCGTCCTCTCCCCAGCCTGCGCTTCCTCCGGTGTCCTGATGCTCCAGGCCTTTGTACTGTGGGAATGGCACCTGGGCCCTCCACACTCAAGCCTGTGCCATTAAGGCCCCTGCTCATCTGCGCAGTCAGTCATGGCTTGTTCTTCCCTGGGAAAGGTCTGTGCTCCAAGAAGTGCCCTTGCTTGAGTCCTGGACTATGTGGAAAGTTCCTGGGTCCCTCTGCCACCACCCTATGAGCCCTGGGCACGGAGTATTTCATAGAACTTATGCCTTTGCAATCCTGACCCCAACCCCAAATGTTCCTTCTCTCACCCACCCCCAGCCCCCAGCAGAGTAAGGCATGTAGGTGCCTGTAAAGCCCACAGACTTTTGCAGTTCACGTACATGCATACACCTGAACAGCCACCAGGTGGCAGTGTTGTGCCAACCATTCATTGCCTGAAGCCTCTTGGGTAGCCAAGCCTGTAGGGATGGGTTAGCCTGATGGGATGGTGTGCCTGCAAGGGTCACTAGAGAGTAAGAAATTGGGTGGGGGCTGCTCCGATGGGCTCTCCTCATAGCCACCAAATGTTTAGTGGAAGAGGCTTGCTACCAAGGATAGGCCTGTGCCACCTCTGGGATTTTGCAGACCACACCTCTCCTTAGATCCAGGGTGGGGAGACCTGCCCGAGGGCTCCTGCAGCACCCATCCTGGTACCTGATGCTGTGAGGCAGGACACTCAGGGTTGCACGGGTGCTGTCATGGCTTCTTGGTCTCACAGTGAACCTCAGCTCCCAGCCACCCCTCTTTCCCAGGACGGGCTCCTTGCGGGCAGCAGCTCTCTTTGGGCGTGCGGCGGGCCTTGTTTGGCCCACTCAGCCTGGCTGGAGTCTGCGGCCTCTCCGGCTACAGTTTGACCACATTCTCCTCCACAGGCTGCAGAGTGGTCAAGTTCAAAGACGGGGCTCTTCTCAGAGCTGCTTTCTGTTGGAAAGCCTTTCAGGGCCACTTGTGATCTGTTGAGCATGTTTGGAAACCACTAACCTAAACACCTCTCTCCTAACGCTGCCCATTAGGGCGCCCCAGGCTATCTACCCCCCCCGTCTCTGCCAGGGTCAGGGACCCTGTGCTGCATCTCACCATGCCCAGATTGAATGTCCCCGCCCTCAAGGGGACTGCAGGGCTCCTCACCCTACCCAAGATACTCACTTCTTCTCAGACTTTCAAGGACTTGGAGCCTTTGTTTCCAGCCTCTGCAGAGTTGGGTCTCCAGTCCAAGAGTTGATGACCCTCCATAGAGCTGGCCCCTGGCTCAGGATGACAGCATGGCCTGGCAGGTTCACACACACCACCACCACACCACCAGGGAAGCTTGGCTTATCTGTGTAACTGTAGGTCCCCACCAGGGAGGTTCTGGGTGCAGCGAGGAGCATTTGCAAAGGGTATGGGGGTGAGGGTAGTCCAGAAGCCCTTCCGGGCCCTCGGGCCACTAAGGCGCTGTCCTGGATGGTGCACAGTGTGCCCGGTGGCAGGGTGTCCCAAACCTGGAAGCTGAGGGAGGCCTCTGGTCAGTCATGGAGTCCACTCACAGGTCTGTCAGTCATGGAGTCCACTCACAGGTCTGTAGTGTTAGAGCCCACTCACAGGTCTGTAGTGTTAGAGTCCACTCACAGGTCTGTCAGTCATGGAGTCCACTCACAGGTCTGTCAGTCATGGAGTCCACTCACAGGTCTGTCAGTCATGGAGTCCACTCACAGGTCTGTCAGTGTTAGAGCCCACTCACAGGTCTGTAGTGTTAGAGCCCACTCACAGGTCTGTAGTGTTAGAGCCCACTCACAGGTCTGTCAGTCATGGAGTCCACTCGCAGGTCTGTCCTCAACAGCCTTGCTATGGTCCTCCGTGAGGTATGAGCAGGAACAGGAAGGAGCTTGCCTCTCAGCCTGGCACAGGTTCTCATGTGAGCTTGCCATTGGCACCAGAGGTGCGCACTGCTGGGGCCAAAGTCTCTCCCTGCAGAGGCAGGCGGGGATTGTGAAAGCTACCTACCATTGTCACCTCCCAAGCGTCCCTCCCCTCCCCTGTCCTACCCCTCTCCCTCCCCTGTCCTCCCCCTCCCCTCCCCCTCCCCCTCTCCTCCCCCTCCTCTCCCCTCCCCCTCCCCTCCTCTCCCCCTCCCCTCCCCCTCCCCTCCCCCTCCCCTCCTCTCCCCCTCCCCCTCCCTTATATGCACACACACATGCACCCACAGTGACATGCTATCCCAGCTCCTGTTCTCAGCAGCCACTCTGCCCAGGGTTCAGCTGGGGCCTTTTCTGGGGTCCTCTGGCCTGACTGTGCCTCTCTGTTCCCTCCCCCTGCAGTACGAGTACAGTTTCCGCACAGAGCAGAGCGCGGCGGCACGCCTCCCACCCAGCCCCACCCGGTGCCAGCAGATCCCCCAGTCCTGAGGAGCCCACAGCCTCCTGGGGAGAAGACGTCTCCTACCCAGTGCCCAGACTACTGATGGGGTGGCTGGGATGAGTTACTCCCTCTCCCAACTGCCCTCCCCACTCACCAAGAGACTCCGGGCAGCTGCGTGGTCATCTATGGTCATCAGCTTGCCTGATGAGACTCCCCTGCTCCCTGGGAACATTGTTCATAATTGTGACTAATGTATGTGCTATGACCAGAGGCTCCTAGCACACCTGTGTGATGACCACTTACCCCACAAAGAAAGAAAAATTCTTCCCTATCCGTGAGGGCCTGGGCACACGCTCCAGCAGCCCAGCGGCGCCCGCTGGCTCCCTTCAACTGACCGTCGCCCACTACGAGAACCCCACAAGGCCACTGTCCCTCCTGGGAGACTCCAGGACTGGCTGCCTCACATAGGACCCTGCAAGATGCACTCATCATCTCTGACCCACCAAGCTCCCCGGGAACAAGCATACCTGGTCAACAAACGCTCACGTGGCCCCTGCGTTTCATAATGACACTGAGAACGCGGGACTCTGCTTCACCCCAGACAACTGTGGACTCTTTCCCCAACGCACACACTGGATACCCAGGGCACAGATGGAGCCCCGTTTTCTGTGGAGGTGACTAGATGCCTGCCTGGACGGAGACTTGGCTGCTAGGGTGCTGTGCCTGGTCACAGCTCCACTCCCCACAAAGGGCTCATCTGTGGAGCTTCCACCTGCCAGCAACAGCTCCACACGCCTCTGCCTGGTGCCCTGACCCGGTGGCAGCTGACACAGAGCGTGCTCTCGGAGGCGTAGTGCCCAGCCCTGCGGGGACAGCGTACAAGGGCAGCAACTCCTCTCAGCCAGGCCACCGGCTGTCTAGAAGGCACCTCCCGCCAGTGACCCGCTGTCTTGAAAAGTCCCTCTGTCCAGGGCCTCTGAATTTGGGCTAGAGTGTTTCACAGGTTCCATCTGAGGTGCCAAGTTCAACTCCACATGTGTTGCCATGCAAACAGCGGCCACCGCTGTGCCAGCTCTCACCACCACGGCATGCTGCTTTGCCATCGTTGGCGATTAGGGTTTGTCTGGCGCTGGTCCCTAGAGGTCTGTGGGTGTGAAGGTGTGCACAGTGGTCGGTGGCCATGGGCAACTACACACCAGCTGTACAAACCTCTCCGGTCACAGCTCCAGAGCCGGCCACAGGCAGCTGAGCGCCAACGGATCGGGAGCAAGAACCAGCCAACGAGATGGCCCGAGTCAGGGCAAGGCCAAAAATACCTCAGCACCCTCCCTCAGCCCCTCGGCTCCTGCTCCTCAGGCCCTCTGTGGTCCACCCTGCCTCCTCAGCCCCCCTTCTCCGCTTGATGGTACTTCATTTCCATGTGTCATGCCTCGGACACGAGCACACCCTGGGGGTACCCATCAACCCCTGCCTCTGGGCCCTACAGCCTCCAGGCAGCACAGGCCATGAAAGGTGGTTAGCTCACCTGCCGGTGCCCCAGAGGCCTGTGGGGTCAAAACCTAGTGTCAAGCTGGTGCTCTACAGAGCTGATGAACTGTCCCTCCCCCAAGACAACTCCACAGCGTCTGCTGCTGCTGGTGAAACACCAAGTGGCTTGTATGACCTGAGGCCCACAGAGAGGGGCAACCACTCGTAGTCTGAGTCAACCGGGAAGGTCGGGGGACAAAGCTCCGGGGTCTCTGGGCCACTTAAGCCTGTGCACATTGTCTTATCACCTCTTTCCGATCCCCGGTTGTGAAATCGTCCTCACCAGGCGATGCCAGGTGACCCTGCCCCCTTCCCTTGATGGAGAATGCGGCTTCCCTGCAGCTCTTACAGGCCCTGAAGTTCAAAGATGAAAACAATGGACCCTTTGTCGGTGATCAGAAAGGCCATGTGAAGAGGTTCCTGGAGGAAGGAGGAGGGCGCGCAGCCCGCTCCCACTCTGCCACGGGACTCAGCCACGGGAAAGGGGGCCAATGCGTGCTCTGAGCTGGAGCAGCCTCGGGACCTCGTAGTTTAAGGATAGCCTTGACTGTGGATGGTGTAGCATCACAGCCTCTAGCTTTTGAAGCGTGGAGGACAACTTGGTGTCTGTGGTAGGTTTTAGGTTGGTTTCTTGTCTTCTGGTGGTGGCACTGGTGGTGTGGTCACACCCATGTCCACTTGGTGTGCGCCTGGCACAGACGCAGGCCTGGAGGTGGGGCTGCGGCTCACGGCCTTGTGTGTGTGGTGTGGAGCCCTTTTCTGAACCACGCCCTAGCCACTGAGATGAACACAGAATCACTGGGGGACGTGAGAGCTGCGGCCTCTCCCTTGGGCCTCCTCCTTCCCTCCCTCCAGCATGCCCCACAACTGCTGCTGTCCCTGCCAAGCACACACCTCTCTCTCGAAAAAGCTAACCAGAGCACAGCCCCCCCCCCTGCCGGCCCCCACGCTGGAAAGCCGGTTCCTCCCGAAGGCCTGGATGGCACGCAGGCGATAAGCAGGGGCGGGCGGGGGGGGGGCTCCAGACTCACTCACAAATTATCATAAGGCCAAGTCTCAGAGCCCGTGTCAGCCCCACTGGCCTTGGGAAAGCACAGGTTAGAGCCGTGAGCGCTCTTCCTGGGATCAGTGCAGGAAGAAGCTGAAGGACACACACAAGGGGACCGAGATATGAGTACCCTTCCTTCACTGGGCACTAGACCTGACAGTCCTAAGCACATTTCCTGTCACCCCCTAACAAGCCCGGCACTGGGTGCTGTCTGTCCCTGTCACACGAAGAGTCCGAGGCAGAACCTGACCCCAAAGCCTCTGGGCCAACCATCTGGCCTTGGTGCCCATCCCTGTGATGGGCTCTCTTTTGCTATGGAGTTACCGTACCACGGCAGTGGGTTCTGGCCATGGGTCAGGCTGAGACCTGCCCTGCTCCCACGACCCCAGGTTCGCAGCCTGTGAGCACTTCTCCTGCTGCATTCCAGCCCTCAAGAGCTGAACTCACAGAACGGGTGTACACCCTTCCGACCCCCAGAGCCTGATGGAGAAGCCGGGCTTCTTCCTGTACCCAGGTCCCTCTCGGGGACTCGGCACATCAGGGTGGCCCAGCTTTGTCCCCTGCTCCAGGTGCAAACCTCTGTGCAACTGCAGCCATCAGCACCCGTCCAGGCTTTGTCCCCCTTCAAAGGTGCGCGAGCTGGGCCACTGTGTGGCGCTGGGACAAGGACCCAGGCACAGCTGCCTTCCTGTGTATTTATTCAAGGTGACTGCTTGGCAAAGGGAGGTTTCACTGTGTGATTGTATTCTTAATATAATTTGTTAAATAAATGTTTGTTTTAACCTCTTTCCCCCAGTTGGCTGTTATTTTTAAAGCCGCCAGAGGTCAGTGTCCCTCAGGGGAGGCCCTCTGCCCAACTGCAAGCTGTCCCTCCTACTTCCCAGGGCTCCTGGGGGCCAGGTGGTCACGACCTTAGCTTTTCAGATTTCTAGGAAGAGCTGGCAGGTGACTTGAGGGTTTCAGGCCCACCGGCATCCTTGACCCCCAGAAGCTCCTGAGAGAAGTCCCAGTTGCTATGAACTCAAGGCCTCAGAAGAATGCAGGAGGCTTTTATCTCCTGCTGGGCTGCCTCCTGTCTCTGGGCCTCGGGGCTTGTCTGTCAGAGTGGGGATGCAGCTCCTCTGCTTTGGGCCTGTCCTAACTGCTCAACGCTGCAGGATGCCGCCTGCAGAGATGGCCCAGGGCCCCACACACTTTCGGGGTTCCTAGGAGTTCCATCATCAGTGCTTTGACTCCCCACCTCCTGGCTGTGGCTTCTCCATCTCTACGAGACTGACTGCCTGCCTGCAGCTCAACACACACCCATCTCAGAGGGAAGGAGCTAGAATGGTGACCTTTGACCCACCACTCCTCTCCTGGGCTCCCTAAAACTTAGGGGTATCTCCACACCTGTACCCCCTACTTCCCAAACCCAGCCTCTTATCACTTGAGTCTTTTTCCCACATCTTTGAGGGGATCCAGGTCTAAGTTCTGGTTCTGGCTCTGCGGGTCGCTTCATCTGGTCCCCAACGGCAACGGTTCTCTGTCGCAAGCCACCTGAGCCTACCACAAGTCACTGCACTGCAGCCACCAGATGCTCTCGTCCAGTGCTGTGTTGCAAGAGGAGGACACCAAGCCGTTTGTCACTTCCTCTCCTGCCACGGAAGTGGTGACTACATGTGAAAACCCCGGGAAGGATGGGCCCCAGCAGTGCCATGAGGTCCCTCGGACCCCAGCAGTGCCATGAGGTGGCCTCGCTGCACAGTCTTGATGTGTCTCGAAGAAACCAGAGACGCCCCAGCACAGGCTTGGCTCCGGCTTGCCAGGCTTCGGTGTTGGTAGTGGTGACTTGGTTGTAGACGCTCCCTGGCAGCAGGTTCTGGGGAACGAGACAGAGCTAATGAACCTCAGAGCCTGATCTAAGCCTGCTAGCGACTAGGTTTTCTGGTTCTGTTATTTCCTACCTGGCCCTGGGTGGAAACTCCACCTTGCAGAGTTGTGGGGAAACAGCTGTGGAAAGCCATCAGGCAGCACCCTTCCCAGGCTGGACCTGGTGCTGCCGCCTCCCCTCTCCCACACCTCAGGCTCGGGAGCTAGAAGGTTCTGAGGGTCTGGACCTCCTGACTGGGGACACAGGGTAGAGGCTGCACAAATTGAACGGCCTGAGATGTGCCCATCCCCCCACTCGCCTTGTCCTTAGGAGGGAGCATGAGGCATTCAACCCTAGCCACCACTGGGGAGTCTTGAGAGCTCCTCAGACTCCCCCACCACACCCACCCCAGGGATCAAACAGTAACCTCTGTGGGGTCAGTGAGCCCCAGGGGTCCCCCCCAGGTGACTCCCCTGCTGCTGCCACCCCCACAGGCAGGTAATCTCAAACTGTAGCTCAGAATGTCTAAAGCCAGCATTTCGGCACTTCCCCAGTGGTGTGGTTTGGATCTTCCAAGCCCTCAGAAGCCCACAGCTTGCCCACACACACACTTCCTGACTCCCTCCGCCACAGCCGGCCCTTCCCATAGAGGGATCCAAACAACAGAACCAAGGCAGGGGGATAAAGAGTTGGGAACAGCCTGAGCTACAAAGTAAGTTCTAAACTGCTTGGAGTATTTGGTAAGACCTTGTCTAAAAATAAATAAAAATGAACAAGAGGAGGCTTCCACATTGGGTAGGTGACAGCCACCTGTAACTCCAGCTTCAGAGGGTCCAATGCCTCTATGGGTACCTCTACAGACACACATACCTCCATGCAGACACACACACACACACACACACACACACACTAAAATAAAAACTTTAAAACATTGGAGCTGAGGATATAAGTCAATGAGAGCACTTGCCTAGTACGGGTGAGGCCATGGGTCCAGTCTCCAGTACCACAGTAACAATAATAATAATAATTAATAACAAACCCCAGCACCACAAGTAATAATAAAAATAATGAAAGAAAAATAAACATGGAGCTGGAGAGATGGCTTAGAGGTTAAGAGCACATAATCACTTTCAGAAAACCTGAGTTTAGTCTCCAATACCCATGTCAGCTCACGACTACCTGGACCTCCATCTCCAGGGATCTGACACATGCTTCTGGGCCATTGAGGGCACCTGCCCAGATGTGCATATCCTCTCTCTCTCTCTCTCTCTCTCTCTCTCTCTCTCTCTCTCTCTCTCTCTCTCTCTCTCTCTCTCTCTCTCTCTCACACACACACACACACACACACACACATAAAATATAAAAAATAAACAAATTATCAAAGATCTCGTTCCACACCCTCAAAATATAGACCAAGGTACCATAAGGCTGAGTGTACTCCTGCTGCTGTGTAGATCCCAAAGATCCCCCAAAGGCCCATATGCTACAGGCTTGCTCACTGGGGTGGTACTCTTGGGAGGTGGCAGGTGTGTTGGGAGGTGAGGCACAGGAGGTCGTCTCTGGGTTACTGGTCAGAGTAGACAGTGGCAGCCCAGCCCCTCCCCTTTCTCTCTCTTGCTCCCACCCATGAGGTCAGAGGCCCTGCGCTCCTGTTGGGATGTGCCAGCACAAACTCAAAGCAGCGAACCTCTGAAAACCTTTTCTCTTTGTGAGTTGATCAGCTCAGGTGGTTGTCATGGTAACTGATGGAGAACCGAGCGAGCAGCGCATGAAGCAGCATGTCTTTTCTGACACATCTGACCCAAGAACGCAGGAGAAGGAGGCGGCTCGGTTCATCTTAAACTAAAGGAGGACAGCACACGTAAGTCGGAGGACTGTTTGGCTTTGGAGTCTGAGTACAAAAATTCCCATGAAATAGTATATAAAACTGAATTCACCCGCATATTCAAAAATAGTTACAGCAAGTAGAGACCATCCTAAGAACGTAAGAGGGCTGAAGAGATGCCTCAGGAGTTTAAGGGCAGCTGCTACTACTGCAGAAGACCCAGGTTTGTTCTCAGCCCACGCTGCCATTCGCAACCATTCATAAGTCCATATCTGTGGGATCTAATGTCTTCCTCTGACCCCCAAGGGCACCAGGTGCATATAAGGCACACATATAATACATGCAAGCAATACAGTCATACACGTAAAATAAAAACTTTTAATTCCATTTTCAATGAAAGTTGGAGAGGTGGCTCGGCAGCTAAGAGACAGCACTGTTGCTCCTGCTGAAGACCTGAGTTCAGTTCCCAGGATCCACATGGCGGCTCACGGCCATCTGTAACTGCAGGTCCAGGGGGTCCCAGAGCAGGTACCAGGCACAAACGCGCATATGCATGCATGCAGACAAAACACTCATATATATAAAAGATTTAAATTCAAGAATGTTCAGTACTGGGAAAGGAGCCTGGGCAGTCTGCTCAGGGAGCTAAAACAAATACAGCCACAGCCCTCGCGCCCACTGCACATGCATTTAAGGAGCCTTGATTTAGGAGCCTCTGTGAGCACCAACCTCAGGGTAAGCGCGGGGACAAGTCCAAGGCTCACACCTACTACCGCCACTTCCTCACCGTGCACTGTGGACGTAAGCCAATGCCATAAGACAAGAAAAAGGAAAGGCAGGGTACAGGTGGGAAGAGGCCCAGCCGCCGTTCTTGGCCGTTATAGAATCTTCTGCGCAGAAAACCAAAAGGAGCCAACACATGAGAGAGATGGGCAAGGGTGTCAGATATAAAAACGATTATCAGACACTAACTCTGCTGCAGACAGAGAGTAGATGTCAGCCGGCCAAGAAATAAAACAGAGTCGTTCAAATGGGCGTAAATACATCAAGGAATAAACAAGGTACAAGTTGTCTGTGAAGATGTCTGAACACATAAAATCAAAGGACACCTAAGTTAGCAGCAACGCTCTATTTTTTATTATTATTGTTATGTGTGTAGATGGGTGTTTGGTCTGCATGTATGTCTGTGCACTATTTGCACGCCTGGCCCCCATGGAGGCCAGAAGAGGGCATTGTATCCCCTGAAACTAAAGTTATAGATGGTTGTAAGCCGTCATTTGGGTACTGGGAATTGAACCCAGGTCCTTTGGAAGAACAGTCAGTGCTCTTAACTCCAGAGCCATCTCTCCAGCCCTGAAAAGATCCTGTGTTACCTAAACATTCCAAAAACATCTTATGCTTCATAAAAGCAAGAATTATGACTCTTGGCTTAGACTCCAATGACCAGGGCCATGTTTGGCATAAAATAAGCCCTTGATAACTATTGGTTTATTGAACTAATGGGAAAATGCTGCCTTTTTGAACTAATATGTTCAGTTCAAGTCAGCAGAAAACTATATAACTTTTTAAAAATATCATAAAATGTCTAAAAGGAAAAATGCACGTAAGAACTCTGCTAGCAAAACAAATTTGAACAAGGGGAGCTCATGGACCCCAGACTGATAGCTGGGAAATCAGCATAGAACTGATCCAGACACCCTGAATGTGGGTTTCAGTGAGGAGGTCTCAGCAATCTATGGGGCCTTTGGTAATGGATCAGTATTTATCCCTAGCATAGGAATGGACTTTGGGAGCCCATTCCACATAGAGTGATACTCTCTCAGCCTAGACACACAGGGGAGGGCCTAGGCCCTGTCTCAAGTGATGTAACAGACTTTGAAGGTCTCCCATGGAATGCCTCACCCTCCATGATGGGGATGGGATAAGGGGTTAGTGGGGGGCAGGGGAGGAGAGGAGGGAGAGGGAACTGGGATTGACATGTAAAATAAGCTTGTTTCTAATTTAAATTAAAAAAAGACACCTGCTAGTATTTGATTCTAAAATGCTAGTGTTTAATGAAGAATAAAAGTCTACATTAAGCTTTTCCAAAAATGTTATATTTGTGTATGTGTGGAAGCACATTAGCGCAGCGATGCCCTTGTGGAGGTCAGAGGACCACGTCCAGCAGTCGGTTCCGTCTTCGTGTGGACCCTGGGGGTCACACTCAAGTGTCGGCCTGACAGCGAGTATCTTCCCCCACTGAGCCACCTCACTGACCCAGCGTTAGGCATCTTTGGCACGTGTGTGTGTGTGCACCCACACCTGTTGAAAACTAGGCAAGTGCACTTTTTCTGTATCCCCAGCCCTGAACATGTTCCAAAGAGGGATTTGTTCTTCCAGACGCAGATACTAATGAAAACACTGGATCAGGGACTGGAGAGATGCCTCAGCAGTCAAGAGCCCTTGCTTCTCTTCCAGAGGACCCAGGTTCAGTTCCCAGCACCCACACCAGGCCGCTCACAAGCATCTGTAATTACAGCTTCAGGGTGTCCGATGCCTTTGGTCTCCACCGTGCATATGCACAGATATACACATAACTTAAAATAAAGAAAACCAGTCTTAAAAACGCAAGCTGTGGCTCCACACTCCTGAGGGTTATTAATAAGAAGCAAACACTGCATGTGGGGTCTGGCTGCTTTTCTACAGTTGAAACTGTCCTAAAATGTTCTTCAGGGTTGGAAAGCAGCGTGGCCCTGAAGCGGAAGCTGCGTGATACGGAAGCTGCGTGACACGTGAGCGGGGACATGGGCATTCCCGTAGAGCCATTTCCTTAGCTCAATCCTCGGCCTCACAGGCTTTTAGGCAGTGTGAAGTTGCATCTCACTGCACTTGAAATGTGTGTTTCTCTGTTGACAAATGGGGCTGAGTTCATGTTCATACGTTTATGGGTCATTGGTAACATCTGTGCAGGCCTGAAAGTCTTTCCCCCATTTGTGGTTGTTTTGGTTTGCCTTTTTTTTTTTAAGATTTATTTATTTATTATGTATACAGTGTTCAGTCTGCATGTATCCCTTTAGGCCAGAAGAGGGCGCCAGATCTCACTACAGATGGTTGTGAGCCACCATATGGATGCTGGGAATTGAACTCATGACCTCTGGAAGAGCAGCCAGTGCTCTTAACCTCTGAGCCATCTCGGAGGGGAACTTGTCCCTCTTTTCTTTGCTTCTTTAGGGCCCAGGGTCCCACTGTGTTGCCCATGTTGGCCTAAAATGTCTCAGCTCAAGTGATCCTCTTGCCTCAGCCACGCAGGTAGGGAGTGGCTCAAAGTTATGCCGTCACACCTGACTTGTGTTGTTTACACATCCAAAGGGACTCCTTTGCCGCACTTGCGTGCAGACGCTGATCTCATCCTGAAGCTTGCTCTCCTCCTTGGTAGTTCTTCCTGTGAACAGACAGTAATAAATCTTGGTCATTGATCCTTTCCTTGTGGTTAGTCCTCTATGCCTTTTTTAAGAACCTTTGCCTGCCAGGCACAGAGTGCCACATCTATGATCCCCATGCTCCAGGGACAGAGTGGGAGTCACCGAAAGTTTGAGGCCAGTCTGCTGCACATAACACGTTGCAGGTGAGCTAGGGCTACACAGCAAGACCTTGTTAATGTTAGAGACAACGGGAGATGCGCAGAGACGATACGGTGGACTAGAGCGATTCCTGCCCTTGCCGAGAACTGGCACCCATGCAGGAAGCTTACAACCACCTGTAACTCCAGCTCCCGAGGATCTGATGCCCTCTCCTGGCATCCATGAGAACGCGCGCGCGCACACGAACGCACACACACACACACACAGGCACACATGCACGCACACATACAGGCACACATGCACGCACACACACAGGCACGCACACACATACAAACACACACGTACATGCACACGCTCACACACATGCACATGTATTCCTGTACACACACACACACTTATATACACCAATAGTTTTAAAATGGATGTTATCCTGACAATTTGTTTCTTCCAAGACAGGCGGGAGGGAGATAGGTGGGGAAGCTTCCTGGAGGGTGGAGGTGTGCCCTGAGCTTGGGGGCTGGCCCAGGATGGCAGCAGCCCCTGGGTGAACGCATGTCAAGGGTGCTGGGATGCTGTTTGGAACGGTGAGGAAAGCCAGTGTTCCAGTGGTGGTTGTCACCGTAGCCTTGCTGCTAGGGATTCCTAGACTCAGCAAACGAGGAAACCTGGGCCTTGGTGATGCCTAGAAGACTCCATCAAACCAAGAACAGTATCCCACACACCCCAACTCCCACATGTAGCCCAGACTGTGTCATCTGAAGGGAAGCGTCCTGTTGTAGAGGCTCTGAGGACAAGATGGCATACCTGGGAGTTCTGGGTTAAAAGCCACTCTAGGACGTTCTGATGGAGGGTGTGGGATCAGGTCCCATCATCTGCGTGGACAGTGAGCGCTGGAACGGGGATGTTCAGAAAGACACCAACCACTGAGGGGGTCCTTAAAGACCCCTCCGCTGTGGGCAGGAAGGGGGCCTGGGTTATAAGGGCTGCGACTCCCACACACACCTTTGCACACAGGCACTCCACTCCTGTTCACCAGAGAAGAGGCATTTCACAGCCATACAGGCCCAACCAGGTCCGTGAGTGCCTGTGGGGTAGGTCTCTCCAGGTGCATGAGTGCCTGTGGGGTAGGTCTCTCCAGGTGCGTGCGTGAGTGCCTGTGGGGTATGTCTCTCCAGGTGCGTGAGTGAGTGCCTGTGGGGTAGGTCTCTGCTCCTTTTCTATAAAGTGGGTGCTGTTCTAACACCTTGCCTGCAGGGTGTGGGGTACCATGGATGGGGCCCACGGTGCCCTGACCCTAGCCTGGCCCCAAACAGCTGGCTTGCGCCTAGTCAGGTCAGCCTGGACTGCTGGGTAAGCACATGTGGCCCGGCTCCAGCCCTCACTGGACCCCGTGACCTCACACGTGCTACCATGAATCTAGGGCCCTCAGACCCTCCCACAGGGAGAGCAGAGCTGCACGGACGCCTTTAACAGAAGGAAGACAAATCTACTGTCTGCACGCTGTGGACGTGTGTTTGGAAAGATGCCAGCCCACAGTGGAGTCCCCATCCTCGCTGGTTGGAAGTCCCACCATTGCCAGCAGGGCGGGGCTTGGATAACTTCTGCATCAGTAACACAGCAAGTTAACAGTGCCTACTTTAAAAAAGATGTTTAAAAGGTTAAGGAAATGTGTCACTGTTTCTTGGTTTCCAGGGCTTAGCCACACCACCTGCACATCCCTGAGCCTCAATTTGCCCTGTTGGAAAGTGGGCTCAGCAAAAGCCCGTCCCGGGGTTTTTTCTCTTCCAGGGTATGGATAAACCTATAACATAGCATAGGATATCTCTGACCTCCATAAACAGGGCTGTTGAAAAACCTCAGATAGAGGCCTGGCCACAGGCAAGGGCCTGTACCCAAAGAGTCAATGCCTAGAGCTCCGAAGTCTTGGAAGGACCTAGATTCCCCGAGACTGGGGGCTGGAAAGCCAGTGACTTGATGTGTATCTAGGTAAAGGCACGGAGCAGTGCCCTCCCCTGGCTGGTCTTCGGGGCCCTCTCTGCTCCAGAGGCCAGGAAAAAACACTCAGCCTTTGACACCATCCAGAAAATGAAAATGTCCCAGACGTCTAATCCTTCCCTTCGGCAACCTAAAAGGCGCTGAAACACAGCCAAGCCCTTGGACATGGTGTGAGCCTGCAAGCCAGCATGGAGGCCTCCTGCAGAGCAAGCTGTGGGGACCCGTGCCTCAGAGCAATGGGCTTGATTGGGCCCAGCCTCTCCAGGTACATACAAGTGACCTCAGGCCCCAGTGGTCTGCACCACAACACGCCTCCTGGAGCCCAGGCTGAGGGGCACCCCAGGAGCCCGACTGCCTTCCCAGATATGGCTGCTCCCCACCCCCACCCCCAGGAAAATATTTGGAATGGTCTTTTGACTGAAGTGAGATTAATCCTTGGTTCCCTGACAGTGTCTCTGGGCAAGTGTTTTTATAACCTCCCTTTCAAACGAGAACCATTTGTCGTTGGGAGGTTAAGGAGGCCCTGCCTGGGCTGCTGGGCCAGGCATCACCGGCACCTGATTGAATGTCATGGGCAGTGCAGGGGGCAGGGCTGGGGCGAGAGCAGCGTGTCCCTTGCTGGTTCCTGCCCCAGCCATTGACATAAAGATAGGTGCTCTAGGCCTGACTACTCCAGTACCGCAATATGCTCTCGAGTTGGTGGCTTTGCCTCTCTGAAGTCGTCTGACAGATGGGGGAGGTGTGGTCCACGCATCCTGAGGGATGTGCCCAGGCCTGCTTTGGAAGACTAGATCCTCAGTGTTTGATAGAGCACTGGATACAGTCTTAGCCCCTAGTGGAAGGGCCCAGTGCACGTCTCACTGAGGCTCCTCCCACTTCCAGCTGAGGTGCCCTGCACCAAAGCAAGCAGCGGGCTTTCATGTACAGAGGGCTGAGTTTATAGGTGTAGGCACAGTCTCTTTAATTAACTCTGAGCCCTTGGTCGGTGGCCTCCTCTCTCAGCACACCCCACCCCCGCCTCTGCAACCCCAGGTCCTGTTTGAAGTTTGCAAAAAAAAAGAAAAAAGAAAAAGCATTCCCCACCACCTCTGCTTGCTGAAGCTGGCTACAAACCCTTAGGGCTCGGCTGGGAGGGATTTATTGGAGAATTTCAATCATGGGGTCTTGGCTCAAACTTGTTGCTTCCCCAAAAATTCTGCCCAGAAGTTTGATACGTGTGCAACGAGGGCATGAGGGGGCACTCTGATGATCTTGAGACTCAGAATTCCACCTGGGCCTGTAGAGCATCACAGCCCTGTACTTGGAGGAAGAGAACATGAGACAAGATGGTACTGGGGGAGACACAGGCTCTGGACCAGTGTGGAGGTGCTGGAGAGATGCAGGCTCTGGACCAGTGTGGAGGTGCTGGAGAGATGCAGGCTCTGGACCATTGTGGAGGTGCTGGAGAGATGCAGGCTCTGGACCAGTGTGGAGGTGCTGGAGAGATGCAGGCTCTGGACCAGTGTGGAGGTGCTGGAGAGATGCAGACTCTGGACCAGTGTGGAGGTGCTGGGGGAGATGCAGGCTCTGGACCAGTGTGGAGGTGCTGGAGAGATGCAGGCTCTGGACCAGTGTGGAGGTGCTGGAGAGATACAGGCTCTGGACCAGTGTGGAGGTGCTGGAGAGATGCAGACTCTGGACCAGTGTGGAGGTGCTGGTATTTGGTGGTCTAAAGGATGCTTAGAAACCGGATTTCTGGGCTATGGGGGTGGGACACTACTCAGTGGAGGAACACTTGCTTAGCAGGCATGAAACCCTGGATTCCAACCCCAGCACAGCAGACAGACAGACAGACAAGACAGACAGAGGGGGCAAGAAGAGAGAGGAGAGCAGAGGAGAGCAGAGGAGAGCAGAGGAGAGGAGAGGAGGACAGGAGAGGAGAGAGGAGAGGAGGACAGGAGAGGAGAGAGGAGAGAGTTCCATCTTGGCCCGCTTCCACAGCAGAGACAGGTCCATGCAGGTGCCTGAGCTCTGTGTGACAGTTTCTTGTTGGTCCCTGGCTGGGTTAAAGGTCTGAGCTTCATAATGGGCCAGTAGAACCTGGTGACATGCCATTCATCCTCAGCTGTGGCTTGGCTCCCCCAAAGGCATTCCCTCCTCAGACTATATGAGCTCATGCCCTTCATGGGAGCCCAGCCAAGATATGTCAGACAAGGAGCTCCGAGTGTTCACTCTCTCCCACTCTGGGCAGGGCTGACTATTTCTATTTCTCCGTAAGGCCTTTGCAATGACGGATAAGCTGTGGTCCCAAGCGCTGCAGCCCAGGGGACAGCAAACATCTTTTGGTTTCTCATGTCAGCCTCCCTCCTCTTGCTTAATAAGTGTGGAAAGAGGCACAAACAGAAATTCTCCGGGTTTCCCATGACTAACAAGATGACCACATCAGGCGACAGAGCTTGGGGATAAAGGTCCCTAGAGTGAGGTGTCCGGTTCCCTCCCAAGACGCTCCACTAACTGCGCTTTGAAGCCGGAGCCCAGGCCTCAGGCTGGGGTGGGCCAGTGGGGCTGAGCTCTGGGCCTCCCCGCCCCATGACATGCACAGATTGCCCCAGATAAAGGGCCCTCAGCGGCTTCACCCAACTTCTGCTGAATTGTGCTTTTTAGACAGCCTTTTCACATGTTTTCACTTCTCTGGCCTCTTTGTTGAAAGATGTAAAAATTTCAAACCACCACAAAGTAAACATTTCAAAACCCTCGCTTTTCAAAATCACTCACATTTTCAAAAAAAAAAAAAAGAAATCCCTTGAATTCCATCCCCTCCACCACCACCCGAAGACTTTCTTTCGCAGAACGTGGAATTGGCGTGTTTTTCATTAATTTCGAAACAGCCCAGGTAACACCGATGACTTGGGCTGTGTTTTACAGGCCGGAAGTAGCTTTGTTACTTGGTAGATAGATAAGTGGCTGTCTTGTCAGAATAAGCAGGTTTTCTTTATTACGGCACAATCCTAATGAACTCATCTGCTTCTAATATTTATAAAGAGAAGAGAGGCCATTAATTCTACTGCTTGTGAATAAAACCATCTGGGATTTCTCTCTATGTGATGGGTTTTGGTTTTAATATACATTTTTCACAAATAAGCGCAGAGCCTTTTTTTTTTCTGTGCGAATGTCACAATTCAGGATCTCATAAAGAAAGAATGCAAAGAGGGGTGGGGGGAATGGAATATTTTGTTAGCTAAGTAATTTCTCACCTTGCAGAGCGAAGGGGACATCAGAGCCAACTTTAGCACATTAGGTGACGGGCTCGCCGGCTGGACGCTAATGCAATCCATGGTATGTTACAAGGCTAACCGCGTCCGTTTTGAAGTTTGTTTTCCTTCGGGAATTACACAGTTCGTTTAACCTAATCTGTCCTGACACTTGAATTATAATATTATGGGCTTCTTCAGGGAAGTAAAACAGTAGTTGCTTGCCTAAAAGCAGAGCAGAAGTTAATAAAGTGGGCAAAATGTCAAGGAAAAAGGCTAATCAAATCATGGTGTCAGTCTCTAGAGAAAATACAGTCAAGTTGTGTTTTTTTTTCTCTTTCTCCAGTGGAACTCTGGGGTGCCTGATGACATGTCTCTGTTCGGGAAGAATCTCTCTCTTTCTCCAGTGGAACTCTAGGATGCCTGATGACATATTTCTGTTCAGGAAGAACTTTGAACTCTAAAGGCGCACTTGATTAAAACCCCAAACTGAGCCGTTGCCCGATGGAACCACCCGAGACTTTGACTTCTGGGTGTCAGGGCTTAATTAAAACACTCACCCAGCCGCTCTCCGCTTACCAAGGAGGCCCAAAGGAATTAAACCAATAAGCTTAATTCTGTTAGGTCACCTGCCTGTGTACACAGAGACGTGGAAGACCATTTACCAATTCAGAAAAAAAAATTGTCAGCCCACTCTGCAGACCCAGCATGGACCACACAGTGAA